TTTGTATTTTAAAAAAGTAAATCAAAGCTGAATGAATGCAAAAACACAGGCAAATTTGCTTGCGTTAGCCTACAATCTAAGGGATAGTTAGCTCAGGAAGCTATACAAAATTCATCAATTGGCTAGAATCATTGGTATATAAAAATGAATTTTTACCCAAAGAGCTTTTATTTTTAGCTTTTAATAATGAGTAACAAGGTCAATATAATTATCTTGATTGTAAATATAATACAGTCATTTATTATACTGTAATGAGCTTTATTGTATTAAATATAAATAAAAATAATCATACTCAATTTTTAATCATCCTCTGGCTTTACGATTTGCTAAATAATAAACAATATGCAGGATTATATTATCCTATGTTAGAAATAAAAACAGAATATGAATTAGAATTAAAATCATACTTATTATCAATTTTAAAAGATCTTATTGCTAAAAGAATAAACAAATAAATACTATCAATCTAATTATAAGAAATTAAAAAGATGTTAGAAGTCAGTTAAAATAGTGTAAAAAATGTAATACAACTAATATTGATAATCAAAAGTGCAATTATCCTAAGTATAATGAGAAGTTAGATACATTAGCCACTTTATAAGTAGAATCTTCAAATGAACTTATTCAAATGAATAATCTAACTTCCAAAACTAAACCTCTTGTAATAAAACCTTATACATACACTCAAGAACAAAAAAATCTCTATCTTGAGTATATTAGTATTATACAACAATCAGAGCCTAATCATAGTATTATTATTTTCAAAATATATGTGCCAGATCCATTAGAACTTAATCCTAATTCAATAAGTAATGTTAGAAAAGTTTTAGAATATATACAAAATATTGCAAAAATAAACTAGGAGGCATGAAAATAGATATTAGTTACTTGTGATAGTATTCTTTATAATTTAATTCTGAAGATTAAGAAAGACTTTCTATGGCTTATACTGATTTCTGGAGCCTTGCATGAAGAAATAAATATACTCAAATCATTCATAAATTAAATTAGTCTTTTTTTTTGACTAAATTAACAAAAATAATACATTGTTGTTTGAAAATATTTATTTTCTTAATTTAATCCTTCTTAACATTTTTTCTTGAAAGGCAATTGATATCAAGCAATTTGCTACTCTTCAAGAATATAGAACTGAAAGCTAGCTTGGATTTTTAAAAAATATGCTAACTATTACAAATCGTGGGACTCTATATACAATATTTATTGATATACTTCTACATATAAATTATTATAGCTATATGTAATTGAAACTGAAGGTCCTTCAGTTAGCGGTTATCTGAATTGAGCAAAAAAACAAAATAATGATATATATAAATTAAAATTTGAACAAGTAAGATTTTAATAATATAAAAAATAATTAATAAATATAATATCCTTAACTAATAATCATTGTAGACATTCATTTACTTTCAGGCAATCATTAACTTTTATACCAGAGTTAGAAACAATTAGCAAATGTTGATAAGTACTACTTGATATATGTTAACACTAATATAGTCTAGTCATAGATACCTTATATACTATCTCATTAAGATAATATATGGAAACCCTTACAGCAAAAGAGTGCAATGAAGAATTTTAAATTTTGATCTTTAAATAAATATATCTTGTGATCT